CTGCCCACGGGCCTCACCCACGCCAGCCACGGGCCCCCGGTGGGTTGTGCCAGTGTCCCAAAGCAGACCCACACTGGTGCCAGAGCCACCTCCCGGGCGTTGACCTTGTGCTGTTCAACCTCCTGGAGCATCCTTCCTTTGGCACAGGCTGCCCCATGCCCAGCGCTGGCACCACAGGTGACACAGGTGACAAGGTGCTGGGGTGCCCACAGGAGCAGCCCATGCTGGGAGAACTTTTTGACACGGGTATATGTCCCCCTCCCAGCCGTGTGGGCATCACTGTCACAGCCCCTCACAGTGGCACGAGCCCCGGCTGTGTCAGCACATATCACGACATATCGTGACACACTATGACACACTCATGGGTCTGGGGGAGAAGGGGCGGGACGAGCAGAGCTGGGAACCAGCAGACCCTCCACGTGGTGCTGCTTAAGGAGAGATTAAATGGAAATCCTTTCTATTTATTGTAATATTTCTCAAGGTTTAGTAAATAATTGATGCTGATCCCTCCTTGATTTCCTCGGGGGCCAGCGTGCGGTTCTGCTGAATTGAAGTTAACGACGCGTGACGAGCCGGGAGGAGGTGGAGCGGGCGGACACTGGGCACACCAGCCCCGGGGCTCGACCAGAGCTGCCCTGGCGTGGGTGGGAGCGAGGAGCACCTGGCTGCGGGCTCCTGGGGAACCTCTGCAGATCCATTTCTCCTGCCCTCACTGGTCCCCTCAATTTACAGCATGCAGAGCAGATTCCAGGGTCTACAAACAGCTACAGGCTTTATTGGCCCTTTGGATCCATAGCTGATGCTGAGCATCACGCGTCCGCCCGCGGCGAGGGGACACACGAAGGCACCGAGGACAGCAGCAGAGCCATTTGCCATCGGCATGGTGCTTGCACGAGCAAAGGGGGAAAAGCTGCTCCTGTCCCAGCTGGCAGTCTGGGGACGGTCACTGCGCTGCTGTGGTGGGGCCAGCTGCTTGGCGGAGTCGTGCACGGTGTCCGTGTGTCGGTGTGATGTCTGGTTCCTGCAGCACCATCACGTGCAGCCGGCAGAGCTCCAGGGCTGCCCTCGCCTTACCTGCGTCTGCTCAGGCACCCACGGGCCTCTCCTGGGGGCTTTGTTGGGTTTAGTCATTTGTCACACGGGTCGACTCTTGAGGGCTTGGGGACTTGGCAGGCTTCAAAAGCTGCTGGGCCAAGGGGAGGGCAGATCAGTTGGGACGGGTGAGCTCACAGCTCCTCTCCTCTGTGGAAAGAACAGACACCCTCAGGGATGCCCATGGGTGGCCAGCACCCACCTGCCACCGAGTGTGCCCACACCCCTGGGACACCCCGACATATGCCCATGGCCCCAGGAAGGAGAGTTCCCAGGGATGTGTCCCCTTCCCCTTTAGAGCCATCGAGGTCCTGGCTGAAGAGTCTGGTGGTGGCATCACCAATGGTCACCTGTGGGACTAGCCATCCCTGGACACGTCTCCATCCCCCTTCCCCTCCCAGCGCCCCATCAGACAGTGGCCAGGGTGGGAGCCGGGGCCCGCGGGGCTGCCACACACCTAGTCTGGGACTTGTTGTCCTTCTCCTCCGCCTTGAGGTGGCACTGGCAGGGGGGGGGGGTTCTGTAGTTGAGGGGGGGCTTT